AACGCTAGCAGGCTAAGCTACCAAACCAAATGGCGTTTGAACTGCATGTTGCGCACACAGCAAAAGGCTTAACAGGCCTGTGTCTCAAAACCGACCAAGGCCCAAACTCAACAGTTTGGAACTTGGATTAAACACAGTACAAAAACTAACGTGCGACACATTATAGCAATGTAATGATTTAACTACTAATAAGGTTTCGTATGTTAACGTAACATATAAACGATTTAGATGGACTAAAGCCTTTAGGTTGTAAATATGCACAAATAGAATATCTGGTCGCCCGAAAGATAACACAAATAAGAGCGCCTCAGACATTCGGTAAGAACATTACCAAGACAACATGTAAAAACGGCGGGGCCTTACCTGTTCTGAGCAAGACAAGTTGTGAACGACTGAAGGAGGACAAAAGCTTGGCTGTTTTGTCACTGCCTGCGAGCCAAACTAACTTAACTAGATGTAATTCCACAGCTCCTCCCCGCCATCAGCCGATTGGCCAGATTTCAGCATTTACATTTGAACGTAGGGAAAGAGAAAGACGTGCCACTGTGATTGGTTGGATTATGTGAGGTTGCGACATTACGTTCGTGTGCTTTGATTGCACGCTGATTGGTTGAACTGGGCTTTTAAACACACGGCGCGAAAAGTCCTTTGTTTGCTCCGAGTCAAACTATCACAGTCTGTTTATGTGTGGTCGGGGCTTCATGAGCGTTTAACCGTTTGTTTTCTACAAGAGACTGACAGCCGCAGAAAACAACTACAGGACCGTTTTTTATTCAGCAAGCTGCATTCAAAAAGGAGTCGACTAAAACTGCCCTGGTTAAGTCAAGTAAAAACAAACTGCTCATTTTAACAGAAAGAAAATTTAAAATAGACTTTACCCTTTGGAATCCAATGACAAAGGCTATATAAACCTAGATCCAGGTCAAAGTAACAACAAACCCTATTACAGTTTAATAAATTGATGCCAATAAAACTATATACATTACATAGGCTACTGGAAAACAAAATATTTGACATCTGCTATTAATTAGATCTTCATAAGATTGCGTGATGTAATGAAATCAAAGTAAAAATTAAGCCATTTCCATATAAAGAGAAGCCCAATACCAGCCTATGTTTTTCTTTTTAAAGCACCCTATAATATTTAATTAATAAGCAGTGGAAATGTTCAGTTTAGCTTTTGCCCTTACTGCATGGGAATTATTTTACGTAATTCGCCTTACTCCTGCTGGTTATTGTAATAGATAGCTATAGGGCCTACCATAAACTTAAAAGATGCTCCATTTTTATTCCCTTTGAAAGTGGATTGCAAACTCACCTTCGAGGGTGGATGAATGGAAGTTTGTGAGAGAATGTATGCCCATGCTGATCTTTTTCTAAGCATTACAAAAAAGTGTTTGTTTGATAACCTGGAAGTACATTCCTATTCTCCACAGCCAGGTTGATGCTGAACATGTTTTAATCCTGCTGCAGGACTAAAAAAGACCTCTGCTGGCCCGTCTTCAACAGACTGCCACAGAAACTTTAAGTAAAAGGACTAAAAACACATTTTTACTTTTTTAAATAACTTTAAAGGAGGCAGACAGAGAACCAAATTTGCATTGCTCATTTTTTCATTACAATTACAATCACCTGGTCCAAATGGAAATCAGAAACTAGTGTCAGAGGAAAGTGTTGGATTGGTCACAGGAACATGATGCTCTTTTAGAAGGGAGCTTGGGCATGTGGGTGCAGATGACTCCAATAACAAATGAATTGATTGAATATAGCTTTATATTTTGTATGTGTTTGTGTTCTTATACCATCCGTTTTGGCAGAGTATTTATGCTGCTCCTCTTTCTTTGCATGAGATTACCACACTTTTTTCAACCTGCTGGATCATGTTTGATCATGGCTGGATGTTGGCTTCATTCCGTGTGATTACATGATCTTATGTAACTACTGTGAGTTTTATGCAGCATTTTCTGTTTTCTTCTTCTTTTTTTTGCAGGTGATGTAAATGATAAACCCAGTTTGAGTGAATGGAGGGTGATCAGAGCTAAGAACTTTGTCTTAAGGTCACCTCTGCATTTAATAATAATAATAGTAGATTTATTTTGTAAGCGCTTTTACGGGTGCTCAAAGTTGCTTTACAGAGATAGTGAAAAGAAAAGAACAACAAATAAATATAGTACTTATATATTTATATGGGTTTTCTTTGGGGAAGGGGTGGGGTTGGGTCAGGCAAATGCATATCAAATAAGCACATTAGCAAAATGTTCTTCCTTTTGTTGATGCGATGGTTTGATGATAATTTAATCCTGACAAAGTTAAGCCCTTTCAGTCAATATAACAATTCTAACAAAATAACGGTAGGCAGCACCAAAGTTTGGCCTAATTATGAAGCCATAGAGTTGGATTCCTCTCATTTTTTTAAAAACATAATCAAAAGCAGAAAATGTGGGTGGCATAAAACTGGAATCAGTGAAAACATGCCAACCTAGCAACAAGTCCTAGTTTACAGTTACTATTTAACACGGTGTAGCAGATACACTGTAGCTTTTTTGTTTAATGTATACCGCAAACAGCTTGCCTTTGTACTTCACACTGAAAACGTATAGGTAAGTAGCCTTGCCTAGGGGAAGTTTGTGTTTATATTCATTTGATCTTTTTTTTCAGACTGCTCTAACAATACTACAATTAACTCTTCTCCCAGTTAACATAAAAGGAGATCTTGTCATTCCTTGCACCTTTCCGGATTGAAAGGCTCGCTGCCCTTCATCCCAACCATCGGTCTTCCATCGATCATGAGGATTTCCAAGGCTTCTCTGAAAACTATGGGTGAGATTGAACAACGCACTACTATGAAGGTTGATATATGGAAGAAGTTGAGTGGGAAGGTGATGTAGGACAGATCCATAGACATACACCAGGTCCAGCCAAAATATGTGAAAAATAGTTTTCCTGCGTTTGACTGACTGTATTTGCTCTCAGAACACAAGATCATGGCGGAGTGCTCGACGCATGCAAACCTGGCACCACTGGCTTCTGGCAGCTGGTGTCAATGTAGTTGTTACAGGAAGTAACTGCTGCCACCACAGTGAAGAAAGTCTTCCCTCCTACATTAGGTAGGGGGAAGCCTCTAACCGGGGCAATGTTTCGGTAATCTTTGTCTTTTGGGTGGTTACATCTCTGCTCCATGCTGATGGAATAGATTTGGTCTTCCCGCCAACTCTCATTGGTATCCAGAGTATAGCTTTAGCACCACGGGGCAGTTTATATATACGTTGTAGGATACAGCGTTTCGTCCATGTTGTGATGCAAATCTTGCTTTCTCTACCACCTGCTTGTTCTCTGTACACTTGAGTGGTGCAGTGTCAAAGAACAATCACATTCAAGCGAAACAAAATGAAGGTTAATTTTAAAAGTCACCTCTTGTTTTTAGGTCATACATAAACCAAAAACATAAAAAACTATTTAAATAACTTGCACCTTTTTGGACCCTTTTTATCCAACTCTGTCTCTCAATGTTCTTTTCTGTGGAGTGACCTGCCTTGAAACCAGACTGGTGCGGATGCAGAAGGTTGTTCTGATGGAGATAACAGGAGAGTTGTTTAAAGACAGCGCGTTCGAGTGTTTTAGACAGGAACGGGAGGAGAGAGACAGGCCTGTAGTTTATAACATCGGACGGGTTGAGAGTGGGTTTCTTTAGGAGAGGGTTTACTCTTGCCTCCTTGAGACTGTTTGGAAAGTGACCAGAAGATAGAGAAGTATTGATGAAATGGAAGGCATATGTAAATACATATGCTCAGTTGTCACTTAATTATGTATGAGGGGTGTAGAATAACACAACAAACTAAAACTTTACATATAAAGGCTTTACTATTAGGTTATTATTATTCAAATGATTGTATTAGATGTTTAGGTGTACCTAATGAAGAGGCCAGGGACTGGAAATGTTATTTTTTCTCTGATAATCTCTAACTTTTTTTGGGTCTATCAAAAACGAAACAGAGTAGGGATCATTTTTTTGTCCCAGATTAATATGGGGCTATAACCTGTGACTATCTGTGACACAGACATTGATTTATTTCAAGTGGCCTTTATTTAAAAGAGGCAGGTCACATAGTGCTTGGTTTCTCTTAATGTCACTCTTTTCATCTTGAAGCTCATTCAGTTTTCTGCTATCCCTACAGTGTGTGTGTGTGTGTGTGTGTGTGTGTGTGTGTGTGTGTGTGTGTGTGTGTGTGTGTGTGTGTGAGAGTGTGTGTAAACTTCAACATCTTTCTTCAACGTGTTGTTTTACAGCTAATGAAGTCTCCTCAAAGATCCAACTTGAAAATCTCCACGTTCATTGCCACCAACAGAGTATTTCCTTGTTAATTAACAATCAGTTGAAGTCTCAATATGTGAGGTCAACCAAGGTCATGGTGGAGGATTCGATAGATGTATAAAGTATGAAGCACAGAGAGAGGTGTTGATGAATCATTTAAAGGAGGTAGGGTTAGGATGTCACTTTAAAGGGAGTATTGAGCATGAGTAAGGGGGGCACAGAGGTGAGATGTTTTATTATCGTTGGTTTTGTGTGCTTTTTTATATGGGGGAGATTGAGAACTTTTGGTCTACTCCACACTGGAACAGAAAGGTGGCGGTAAGTAAAACCAGAAGAAGAGGAAGCAGAAGTAGTTAACATCCATCAGGAGCATGTGAATGTGGCTTAGACGAAGAAAATGTAGAACATGCTGTCACTGCCAGATGTATAAAACACAGAGAAGAAAGTTAAAGAAATGTGGAGTAGGATTGTTAAATCTTAAGAATCTCTTGAGTTGCGAGAAAGACAACTTTATTTGAGTTCTTAAAAAATACTGGGTCGATGAAGAGAATTTTTTTTTTATATTTCATTTATTTTCCTTTTTCTTCTTCCTTGTAGCTCACTGTTTTTCCCATGTGGTCCACAGTCACACTCCAGCATAGTAGGTGGCGGTAATGCACCTTAAACGTTAGGTGCCACCCGCCATTAAACAAAAAGAAGAAGAAGTTGCGATTTCTGCACTTTTGCAGATGTGAAGGGCGTGGACGAGAGAAATACAACAACTCTTCGAGCAAAGCGACAAAGACTGAAGACACTGAGGGACAGAGGAGACACTCAGAGGAGACAATCATATTCAGGACAGTGAGACAGGCAGCGGCAGAGAGACAGGAAGATGAGAAGAGCCGCCGAGGACCCGAGCACGCTCTGTCTGTTTGACGTCGACGGCACGCTCACAGCCGCGAGACAGGTAAGTGTGTTTGTGTGTGCGCGTGCGTTTGTGTATGTGCGCGCACGTGCGTTTGTGTGTGCGTGCGCGTTTGCTTGTGATATATCCGGCTCAGAGCCATATAATATCTATGCGCTGATCCGGCTCTACGATGTTGTTTTTGTATCGCTTCCGAGCCAGATTGTGTTCCGCAGAAACACGCGCTGAGAGAAAGGTTCCTCCCTGAATCATTAGCCGCGTTCACACCAAGTACTTTCCTGTACTTAGTTCCGGCACTAAGAGCCCTGGCGCTTTTAACCCCAGGGTTACTTAGTACAGATCGCGTTCACACCGGAGTACTTTTCCCTGAGGGAAGATTACAAGTACAGTAGGTGGCGGTAAGCACCTTAAAGTTGTTTGCAACCCGCTACAAAACAAGAGAAGAAGAAAAACTGATACAGGATCTGTTTAATCGCCATGTCGGTTTTCTTTATTGCACTCTCAAGACATAACATTAAATAGAAATATTTTAAATGTAACTAAAGTGTCAGTTGTACATGTCAGTAAACATTGTCAATATAAAATAAAGTGTCAGTTGTACTATATAATAACAGTAATAACAATATAAAATAAACTCCCAGCTGTAGGGAGTCTCAGCAGCAAACCCACCTTTATTATATATCTTCCTGAGACCCACTGCATCCGTCTGCCATAAACACTATGCAAACATACATGTTAGTTTTGGCCCATAGTGGACTCCATGTTGTGTTGTGTGAAATGGGGGGGAATTAAAAGTTTAGGTCAAATAATATTTAAAATGATATAAATTGTCATATTTGTGTATGTGCCCCTGCCATTCCCCCACAAGGTTGCAACATTGATGATAAATAAATGACAAATAAAGCTTTGCCAGTTTATAACCGATGAAACATGATGGTATCAGAATAATCACTTACATGTGATGTATAGGATGCTACACAGGTCACAAAAGATAAAGTGTCAGGAGAAATAAGCTTAATCGCCATGTCGGTTTTCTTTATTGCACTCTCAAGACATAACATTAAATAGAACAATTTTAAATGTAAATAAAGTGTCAGTTGTACATGTCAGTAAACATTATATATAAAATAAAGTCATAACAGTAATAACAATATAAAATAAACTGTCCCAGGTGTAGGGATATTCTCAGCAGCATGCACACCTTAGTGCAACGTTGTGTGTCGTGTGTCAGTATTTACAAAAACTATACCAAATAAACTGTTATTAAATGCAGTTTGTCGCTCATCCTGCCGCTGCGCCAACGCTTCCTCATGGCGCAGCGCCCACACTTCATCCTGGTGCTGCTGGCGCTCCATCTGCTGCTTGAACACTTCTGCCTGGCGCTCCATCGAGGTGAGCATCTTGTCCTCCGTTTCCTGGGCCTTGGTGAACAGCACCATCTGATCTCCACGCAGCGACTCATTCACCACGGCACGCCGGTCCTCCAACGCCTGGGCGGTGTCAAAGAAATTCGCATCCCGTGTCCGCTTTCCTAAGAGGGGAAAATAAGCAATATACAAGTTTAGTCGCCATGTAGTTTTACAACATACTAGGAATGTGTTTTTTGTATTTTCACAAATAGAATTAAGGTTTCACAAATCTGAAACTGTGTTATAAAGAATGTTTAGACCCTCTGGGATAATCCAGTCCAAATAAATCGGCTATGCAGCGATTTAAGAGGTTCAAACACGGAGGATTGTTCCTTTTTGAAGAGTGCTTCATGTATGCTTGAACTTTGTTTAATGTTGTTGAGGCAAGTTAAACATAAAATATGATGAATATTATGAAATAAACATGATTGTGAACATCAGTTCGATGCGCAACGTTCTTTCAAGACAAAGTTACAGTGTGTGTGTACTGTGTGCTCGGGGCCGGTGTTAGCCTATTATGGCTAGCATGGCTAGCTTGATCTACTGAGCAAATAAAAGTACATCTGAGACCATTATTGTGCAGATTAAAACCCCAGTGCATGTAGTTGATTTTACCTTCGTCGTGGTCGTCATCGTTGGCCACTGAATCCGCCGTTTGTAGTCCTGCCCGAGTTTCTTTATTTTTAGCCGGTGTGCCGTGGGGCTGTGCTCATTCCCAGGTCGAGTGAAAGCTACTGAACTGGCTTCAGTAGCATTCCCTGGGTCGCGTCCTCTGCGTAGATCTCCAGAAGCGCCGACACCTCCTCATCATTTCTTGATGCTTGCCATAACTGCTTTCAAAAACAAACACAACGCACGGAGCGTTGTGTTTTTGTAGCGAGGAAAAACAATGGCGGCTCTACACAACATTTTCAGAGTTGTACGGGCGTGGTTTGCAATTCGCCCAGCCAATCAGCACTGGGGCACTTTTGGAGAACTTTTCACCCACAGAAAAGTACGTTCTCTGAGTTGGCTCTAAAAATGGGGGTAAAAGTACCCGAGATTAAGTACGATTTTTGGTGTGAACGCGACTCACGGAACTAAAACGCGAAAAGTACGGTGAAAGTAATCCGGTGTGAACGCGGCTATTAGCTGATGTGAAGCTGCTCCGATGCTCCGCCGTAGCGTCATGAGGCACTCACTAATAGTTATCATTAACAGTATTCACGTATGAGCTTACTTTCTTTAAGTGGTGGGTGTTTGATTGTGTATTACTATCAGTGCTGGGAGAATAACTGTTTCACAACAGGGTATAGTAAGTGTGCTTGTTCAACAGACAAATCAGGTAACACAATGTACTATCACTGCATGAAGAATGACCATAAAGCCGCCGCCACCATAAAGTTATACAAAATAAATATTCTATAACTAGTAATACAAGTAAAATGTCAGAGACCGACAGAAATAAGTGAACACAGCTTTGTTTTGGCTGGAAAACTAAAACATTTGACACAAATCCTGACAACTGGAGTGCATGCAGGTCTTTTTATTGTATTGTTGCAATAATCTCTGTGTTTTACCTTAATATTCCAGTTAATGTGTGTTTGTGTGTGTTTTCAGCGTGTCACTCCACACATGTCAGATTTCCTTGAGAAGCTAAAGACTCGGGTTCGAGTCGGAGTGGTAGGAGGGTCGGACCTTTGTAAGATCAAAGAGCAGTTAGGAGAAGATGGTGAGACACGCGTATTGTAAACCATATCTATCTATCTATCTATCTGTCTATCTGTCTATCTGTCTGTCTGTCTGTCTGTCTATCTATCTATCTATCTATCTATCAATCAATCAATCAATCAATCAATCAATCAATCAATCAATCAATCAATCATATAGATATAGACCGTTAATTAGTTAGTTTGACTCTCTGTGTGATTGTGCAGTGATCCAGAAAGTGGACTACTTGTTTGCTGAGAATGGTCTTGTGGCCTATAAGGATGGACAGTTGCTCTGTATCCAGGTGAGATTGACGTTATGTGTGCACACCTTTTTTATTAACAGCTTTTAAGCCTGTATTGTCATCTTTTTGTTTGACATATTAAGTTAATTTGCCATCCTTACCTTTTGTTTTGTAAACAAAATAAATCAAACTGTTTACTGTGTCTGCTTGCTGTTATCAGTCTATTCAGGCCCATATGGGAGAAGAGTTGCTCCAGGACTTCATTAACTTCTGTCTCAACTACATGGCCAAGATCAAACTGCCTAAGAAGAGGTACAGATACAGCTGGTTTAGATTAGAATTAGAATTGCTGGGTGAAACCCTCTTTATTTCACACATGCACACAGCACACACAGTGAAAGTTGACCTCTGCATTTAACCCACCCTAGTACTAGGAGCAGTGGGCAGCTATTCTACAGCGGTCATGATCTCATTAGCCATATGTACTTGTTTTTTCGATTTCTGTGTAAGCATGCAGACCATTAAAATGTTAATAATAATTAAAAGTAATGAAGGAACATTTATTGTAATTTGGCATGTTTCACAGGGGGACATTCATTGAATTCCGTAACGGCATGTTAAACGTCTCCCCTATTGGGCGCAGCTGTACCCCGGAAGAGAGGAAGGAGTTCTACGAGCTGGATCAGGTACACACTCATTCACATAAATGCATCATTTAAAGCTGCACTCATCCATATCTTTCACATTAAAGGTAGAATGACTCACAATGTAGTGTTGCAGAATTGCGTTTCTAAAATGTAGTCAGCAATCAGCATTTTATAGTTTCCGGTTCCCTCGTCTTGAAGGCAACCATTTTTGAACGTGTTTTTTGTTCAAACCTGAAAAAAGGTCTGTGGTTAACACAAGCTGGGTTTATGTTTTTGTGTGTCACGAAAAGACGGTTTCTAACAAGTGAATACATGACTGTGTGCATCAGGCCAAACATTAGCCACCTTTATCTTAGTGTCTAATGGCGCATTTCCACTACACGGCCTCGCTCGGTAGGGCTAGGCCTCGTTAGGACTGGCTCACTTTATGGCGCATTTCCATTACAGTTTAGGAACTGGGGTAGTATCTATAGTAACGCAGTGTAGGCGGAGCCGTGACGTCATCTTCAATGAGAACCCCAGAAAAACAACACAGCCGTTAGCTGTTAGCACTCAGAGCTCACAGCTCCTCATATATGTTCAGAAACTAGACAAAAGTGAAACAAGTACAAACCACAGACTGCCTGTGTCATGGCGAATACAGTCGCTGCTTTATTTATGTCTGTATAGGCCGTTGTTGTGAGTGTGGACGGTCGGAGCATATACTGCGTTAGCTTAGCCAATCTCCATTTAGAAAACAAGCATTTTAAAAGGTTTTTCCCCTGCCGTCTGTCTGCAGACTTGACAAAGCATTAATTCATGGTTTTTACTAACCGGTATCAGTATGTTGTTACTTCGGCATCATTTTGAAACGTGTATTACAATTAAATCACGGTCAAATATGTCCATCTTGTTGTAGTTGTAGCCCCCTTGCCAGCGATTCTCTCTCTCTAGTTTAGCATACTCAGCCCGACTCAGCCTCGTTGTCTCTGGCCCTAGACCCACGATTTTATGAGGCCAGAAAAACTGTGAATTAGGACCCGCTAGCCGGTACTAGGCCAAGTGGAAACGCAACCAAAGACGGGCCGCTGACGTCACAGCCCTCTTAAACCGTGCTCCGCGCTGTAGTGGAAACGCGCCATTAGTCTCTTCTGACTTTTTTTGTTGCCGTCTTTGCGAAATAACCATTCTTCTTTAACCTTAGGATGTTTGTTTTACTTCTCGTTTCAAAAAGGAAAAAAAAGATTAAAATGACAGAAAATGGCTCCATATTTAGTGCTGTGTTTATATTTACATGCTGCTCTTTTTCAGAAAGAGAAAATCAGAGAGAAGTTTGTGTCAATATTAAAGGAAGAATTCAAAGGAAAAGGACTGTCATTTTCAATCGGTGAGTCAACTCCAATTTCAGTTCCAGTGTTGGTTTGGAAGGCTCTATTAGAATGTAGGAACAGAGCATCAGGTGGATGTCATCATCTTCCTGCCTCTCGTCCTTTTCTGCGTACAGGAGGCCAGATCAGCTTTGATGTTTTTCCTGACGGCTGGGATAAGACATTCTGTCTGAGGTTTGTTGAGGAGGACTTCTCAACCATCCACTTCTTTGGGGACAAGACCAAACCTGTGAGTATGCTAACTGATGGCAGAGGACAGAACAACATGGTTCTTCTTTCAAAGGCTCAGGCCATACACACAATCGACAAACTTACACTTTTTGTCAACAAGTTGTAAATCTATGCTGTCTGTCTATGGCAGCCCAGCAGAGACCTGCAGTATACTGCAACCCCCCCCCCCCCCTTCTGTTCACCCTCACTAAGCTGGCCCATATTTCTCCAGTCTAGAGTCTGTCCTGCTTTTTAAGCTGTCTTCTTATTGTTTCATGCTTTAGTGTGGATGCATGTTTCTCACACACACACAGGGCACACTCAGCGCTGTGTGGTCAGAATCAGAATACCTTTATTCGGGGACATTTTGACATTTGTTACAGCAAGTAAAGGGCCAAAGACAGCTTAAAATGTATTAAGAAGCATGCATACAAATATTAAAGATACAACTAGAAATTACACAATATACAAAATAAACATCCATTCACAGTTTAGAAATAGCAGCCAGGTGAGAGTGTTGAAGGTGGAAGTATTTATTTGCAGTATATATACAGTATATTGCACATAAGAAGTATTTCAGGAGTGTAATAGTCTTTGTTATTATATGTGTGTGGTGGTTGTAAAGTCTGACTGCTGCGTGAGTGGGTTAGTACATTTAAACTGACTGTAGTTCATTTAGTGTCATTATCTCCAGTTGCATATACTGCAGGTCTCTCTGCCTTTCAAATATGAACTAGAACATTCTTAAACTCCAAGGTTTCCACCCAGCTCATTGCTGAGAAACACATTTAAAAACCTTTTTGAGTACAGCTTTGGCTCAGTCTGCATTCTGCTGGCCATTTGTGATGGGAGGAACAAAGCAGCATGGTAATGCGTTTAGAGCTGGGAGTGGTCCCTGCAGACCCCTGTGGAGACACACAGCCAGGTGTGAAGGTACTGAGGTGAGCCAGATGCATGTCTGACGGCTGTGAATAAAGACACTGCTGCTGAATAAGGGTCTGAATGCTCTGCTGTGGGAAGCTGACCCATCTCCATTCACAAACATGCTCCCATTGATCCAGCCCCCCCAACTCAGTTTGCACACATTCATGAAAGATCTGATTCACACTGCTTTACTGATAACTGCTTATATGCTATCAGCCACTTAGAAGCAGCATGTTGACTTTCAGTGTGTCTGCCACTCCTGTTAGCATCTGTTTGAAGACAAGAGATTTAGGCCCAGGCCCCACGGGAACGCATACGGCAAAACGCATAGGATTAATGCAAACGCAATCGCCAAAAAGCTTCCGTCCACACGCAATATACACCGGATAGTGTCTTCCCACACGAGACAGCTCCGTTTAGATCCAACCGCTGGAAAAGCTGCAGTACATATGCCGAGCCTGTACGTGGCGCTGTAACTTCCTCCACAAAAGCAGCAACTTCCTCCACAAAAGCAGCAAAGAAGAATGGTTGTCATGGCTGCACTTCTGTTTATTCTCCGCGGTGGCGGCCGAGGGAACCGGGCAGAGTTTTCGCCGGTCAACGTGTGTTAAAGTTTAAATCTTCATGCTTCCTCATGCAGCAGCTGATCCAGTAAGTAAACCCGACAGTAAAAATAAACATATTTATAACTAGTTTAGTTTGAGAGGTAATTAAAATAGCTAAGGGTGGTGATCTGACTTGAAGTGTGTGTTTTGCTCCCGCTGCTTCACAGCGGGAGGAGCTGCGTGTCTCCGTCCTGTCAGATTAGACTTCACTCGCGTTTATGTCCATATCGAGAGAAAGATAAATAATCTGAATTCAGTGTGCAGTGTACTTTTGCGGGGGTGAGCAGCAGAGGTGGGGAGAGGCGGGGGGAGGCGGGGCTATTGAGTCGTCATTATCACAAACGGATGACCGTATAGGCTACCACACGGCCCCGTTGGACCCCCCAGAGCGCTCCGTTCCCAGATCTATCCACCTTTGGACCTGTTGTCGTTCGCCGTTTCTACCGTTCCGTTACGGCGTCGTGTAGCAAAAAGGGCTATACGCAAGAGAAATATGCGGATACAACCCGTTTACGTTCCCGTGGAGCCTAGGCCTTAGGCCCCGGCCCCACGGGAACGCATACGGTAGTTTCCGTTACCGTTTTGTGTCGTATAGACCGTTCGGCCACACTAGGACGACAGAATATGGCAGTAAACGACTACGGTAACGATAACGGGTCCCAAGGTGGATAGAACGGCATACGCAACGCTCTGGGGGGTCCAACGGCTCCGTGTGTACGCCCAATGATCATTTTCTGACAGTGATGACGCAATAGCCCCGCCTCTCCCCACCTCTGCTGCTCATCCCCGCGTCAAAGTAAACTGCACACTGAATTCAGATTATTTATCTTTCTCTCGATATGGACATAAACGCGAGTGAAGTCTAATCTGACAGGACGGAGACACGCAGCTCCTCCCGCTGTGATGCAGCGAGAGCAAAACACACACTTCAAGTCAGATCATCACCCTTAGCTATTTTAATTACCTCTCAAACTACCTAAACTAGTTATAAATATGTTTATTTGTACTGTCGAGTCATCATTACTGGATCAGCTGCTGCATGAGACAGACACTGACGCTGTCAGAAGAGGAAAAAGAGAGGCTCCGTGTATTTTATTATTATTATATATATAGTCGTTATTCATTTGTTTTAAAGCTCAATAACAAAGAAGACCTTTGACCGGCACTTTTATAATTTTGTCGGGAAGATTTAAACTTTAACCTGTTCCACTCTGAGCCTGTTTTTCAGGTCTCAGGCTCGAAAATGACATTCCCAGAACAAATGACCATATCTTCCCTTCTAAAAGGGTTAAATTAATAATCTTTTCTCAAAGTAATGATAAACCTGTGAGTTGGATGTAGAAGTGTCAGAATCAATATAATGTTTTTTATTTTAAAGAAAATTCAGATTTTACATAGTAAAAAACTGTAAATTATAGTGTCCGTCCAAAAATTATTTTTTACAGATAGTGAAAACTACCCTTGGATGATGGGTTAGTAGACTAAAAGCTTTAGGAATCCAAAGTACAACATATAATAAGTACCCTGTATCAAGATTGATGCAAAACAAGTGAAATTTGACCTTTTTAGAGAGATTTAGCCAAAAACTGGGCCATCTGGGGTCCTTTGGGTGGATTTGACCTATCTCTGGCCCCCCTTGCTCGATTTGGTTGGTTGACATACCCTTGTGACCGTTAGAGCCAATAGAATCGAAGGGGGAGGCTCCCACCCAGACACGTTGTAAAGAAAAAATGTGGTTGCTTCGCGTGTGGAAAACGAAACCAAAGTAGAGGAATGTCTCCTTCTGGAGTTTGGAAACTAAAACGCAGTTGTATTGCTTATGGATTATCAGAAATAATTTCAAAGAAGGCACAGACACATAGGATGAACCTATGGATTAACTGCAGCATCGTTTTTTTATCGTTTTAATGCCATTGAAGACCACTTTTGACCAAGGTAAGCCATATTTACGTGTTTAGCTTCTTAGCTCCACATGTGATGATGTACGCTTTCGTTTAGAGCGTCGCGAATGTTTATCACTGAGTGTTGAGGAGGGCACCGGTAGATTCAGTGTCTCCAGGACACCAAAAAAGAGTGGTTGGTTGTGCATCTAGGATAAGTAATAAGGGAGTTAGAGTGAGTTTAGTTGCCTTAGTATGTTACGTTTTTTTCGCTTGAGGCTAATTCAGAGGCTGAGTGCTAGCAATGTGGGTTTTTTTTGAAAAAAAAAATTAAAAAGATCAGTTAGCTGAGTTTCTTCCCGTTACATGGATATAACACATTCATAGTTTTATTCAATATTAAGATTCCTTAGACGTTGTTTCCTGCAAATGACGCGTTTATCCGCCCGGTACCGGGGGAAGGTGTGAAACAGGTTAACACACGTTGACCGGCGAAAAACTCTGCCCGGTTCCCTCGGCCCCCACCGCGGAGAATAAACAGAAGTGCAGCCATGACAACCATTCTTCTTCGCTGCTTTTGTGGAGGAAGTTACAGCGCCACGTACAGGCTCGGCATATGTACTGCAGCTTTTCCAGCGGTTGGAGCTAAACAGAGCTGTCTCGTGTGGACAGACACTTTCCGGTGTCGATTGCGTGTGGACGGAAGCCTTTTTTGCGATTGCGTTTGCGTATGCGTTTCACCGTATGCGTTTCACCGTATGCGTTTCACCGTATGCGTCCCTGTGGGGCCGGGGCCTTAACTAACTTCATGTACAATTCCACTGAGCAGAGACAGCCTCCTCTGTCCCAGAAGAGGAACATCCTCACTCTTAAAGACATGTGTATTCACTGTGAGCTCCTTGTAGAATAAGACAGTAAATAGTCACATGACTATGGCTCGAGGATAGAAACGGAATCTACCCATCGGAGGGTCAGTAATTCCATCCTGCATGTATTTTATGAAATGTTCTAAACTGTGGACAGATGCCCCAAGCTCTGTACAGCTCCACGAGTTTGCTATTCAGACAGAGTGTGTGTGTGTGTGTGTGTGTGTGTGTGTGTGTGTGTGTGTGTGTGTGTGTGTGTGTGTGTGTGTGTGTGTGTGTGTGTGTGTGTGTGTGTGTGGTGTGTGTGTGTGTGTGTGTGTGTGTGTGTGTGTGTGTGTGTGTGTGTGTGTGTGTGTGTGTGTGTGTGTGTGTGTGTGTGTGTGTGTGTGTGTGTGTGTGTGTGTGTGTGTGTGTGTGTGTGTGTGTGTGTGTGTGTGTGTGTGTGTGTGTGTGTGTGTGTGTTAGGGAGGAAACGACTACGAGATCTACTGCGACCCTCGGACCATGGGCCATGAAGTGTCCAGTCCAGAGGAGACTCAGCGACTGTGCCAGCAGCTCTTCTTCTCGTGAGACTATGAAGAGTGTTGTACACACACTGATACTGCAGGTCTTGTTTCATCGTATCTTAAGGTTTAATCACAGAAATAATTAATTGAATGCAGCAGTGTAGTATTAATGTTGAGAGGAAAGACTAACGGACATTCGGGTTGGGTTTGAAATAAAGCTGTAATGGCTGTAATTGGGATATAATGTTTTAAAATGTATTGTTGGAGGAATTGTATCCAGAGTTGGGCTTGGCTTGTCATCATTACCCCATGGTAAACAGTTACCCACTAAATGTATGCTTTTGCAGAGATGTGCAATCTCCCCAATCGTGTTTTCGATTGTTAAAGCAAACCTCAACAGGAATCTGTTGTATATGTGATGCATGTCGTTACACATGATCAGGAATTGGCTATTGACAGTAGATCAAAGATCACCTGAAAGGCCTGGGACACTCACACAGAGGACTGATTCCCTTCTGATGATCACATGTCATGGAACACACTGAGCTGGAGCTCTCATGTCTTCCTCTTGGCATGTCTTCTTGTAGTGTCTCTGTCAGCCATGTTTAGTATCACTGCTGCAGTGTATTCACACACAGTCACCACAGTATCCAGACGTCCTCCTGTATGTTAGCGAACAGCACATACTAATACTTTGATGCATATGGTTGTCAGTAGAAGGCATCACATTTTGTAGGAAATATCACCAGACAATGCATTGATGTCATGGCCCCTGCAGGTAGAAATGTATGAGAATATATCTGTCATGAATGCCCTATACAAATGTGTGAACTTCTTTATGCACAGCACTTGAATTAAGTTTAAACTGAAGAAGATTCTACTGTAAAAGATGTGAACTGTGGGAAATAAAATAATCGACCCATTCTGAAAAGTACAATGTGTGGGGAGCCCCGCAGATATGGGATATTAATAATTGTGTAAATCATTTTTAAATGAAGCAAAAAAGGTTTGCACAGAATACCTGAAATAAAGACATGAGCAGGAAAGGTACTCACAAATGTGTGTGACTGTGTTCCTCTGTGTCCTCACTGATACTGATATATATCTGCAAAATAGACAATGATTGTTTCTTTGTTGATGTATCATAATGGGAAATGTACAGGGATTTGAAACCATGAGAAATGTCTTTGTGAAATATTCATATGATCAGTTGTGAGCTGTTTTCAGTCCCTCCCCCTGCTGATGGAGCCCTGACAACAACCCCCCCCCCACACACAGTATCGGTGCAGTGCCTTTTCAGTGGGGCAAGATCATAGACTGTATAAAGGGCAAGATATAGCAAATGTGTGTGCCTATCCTGCTATTTCAGTTTATTCTTTTAATCACACAGCGTTAAGAAAAAATTCAAATGTGCCTACATAACTGTCAGTTGCAGCCCTAGCATTATTATTGGTACTAACAGTATATTTTAAAAACGTTTTAAAATGACCATCTTGAACAGCTACAACATTAAAATACTTCTAGGCAGATTGTGGACAGTAACAAAGTACATTTACTTATATTAAGTACTGTACTGCTCCACTCCCATTCAGGCAAATAGTGTTTCGCTAAGCTGAACAGCCAATCACAGTGATTTCTTTTGCCGACAGCCTCTGCTGCCGATTCAACATGTCGAATAAAGCTGTAATGGTTGTAATTTGGATATAATGTTTTAAAATGTATTGTTGGAGGAATTGTATCCAGAGTTGGGCTTGGCTTGTCATCATTAGGCTACCCCATGGTAACAGTTACCCACTAAATGTGTGCTTTTGCAGAGATGTGCAATCTCCCGATTGTTAAAGAAAACCTCAACAGGAATCTGTTATATATTGTCATATGTGATGCATGTCGTTACACATGATCACGGAAGGCAGGGTTGCCAACTTTGGGTACCTGGCTGGAGTGAGATTTTGATATCATGGGTTTAATTACACATATGCGCACTAAATGACTGCTATCATGTCAGTAGCGGGACCTTAGCATATATATTGGATATATATACAATATATGCAAATACACAATATTGGACACAGACTATAAAGGGCACAAAGTTTCATTCACTAATGAAAGTCAAACACATGTTTGTTTCCACTGTTTTATTGTGCCTGTCGCGATAAGCAAATAATTGACTTATCGTACGATAAATAAAAATGAACTCGATAAATTGCCATTTACATGAGGATGTGACAAGCAGTTTGAAAGGATGTACTTGAATTATTATTATATATTATCATTATGTCAGTGGTCTAAAATGGTCATACAACGGTGCCGACAATATTATCGTTTATCGCAATAATTTCCGGGAAAATGTATCCAACAAAATTAATTATCGTGAGAGGCCTATACATGAAACACACACACACACAAACAAATCTACAGACTTACTCCAAACTGCCAAATATATTAATTAACACACTCTCACTCTCATATACTCTTTGACTCTATTTTGGCCTAGTAGAACAATAAGCAGCAGACTTTTACTTTTTATCATTTCTACTGGACCTTAGATCTGCGCATGTGCAATACGGGTCGGGGATTGACCAACCGGCTCCCACTGCTCTGCTGTCTGTTAACGTTGTTAAGAGTGGTGGGGGCGGGGAGGGAGCGGATTGACAGCTTGAGCAGCTGTCAACTCAACATTGTAAATAACCAACCAAAAATGATCGCCGGTTCATCTTGTTTTTGGCGTGAGAATAGGTTGGGCAGCGTGAGAGCGTGAGATTGAGAGTGAAAGCGTCTGTCACACGCCAGATGCGTGAGAGTTGGCAACCCTGCGGAAGGTGTCGACACGGCCGAAAAGGCACGACGATGTTTCAAAGAGCGTCTTCCCTCACAGGAAAGGCAAAGAGGTTCCACCATCATTTAAGTTTATATACACACCATAGACTGTATATATAAAGGGACACACCAATCTGAGTAGGGCGACAGGACGCTCATCGACAGCCGAAATCGGCTTGGTGTGTCAGGGCCCACAGCTCAGGAGGAGCTGCTAGTGGAAGCTCCCCCCAGAGGTTTTTCATGTCACATTAGCTGCGTCTCACTTTCCTTAACTTCCATCCTTGCGTCCATAAAATAGGAACTCATTTTCAAAAATAGATAAAAGCCATTCTTAAAATGTATAAACAAACTATAGTTTAATACAATAGAAATACAATAATTGAGAGAAGAGCATAACGCATAACAGAAATATTGTGGGTTAAATAAAAGTGAACAAAGGTTGCATGCATTATCATAACGGTATTGTTAGGCATAAAAATAACATTACGTAACGGCACTTACACTTGTGTTGTGATGGCTGTTAAACTGAGACAAATCACGTAATTCATGTCTCAGCTGTGACTGAATGGAAATGACAATAAATAAAAATGTAAAACGAAAAAAGCTGTTCCTGCTGACAGATAATAAATCTGTCTCTCTTTTAATGTTATTGGAGTTGGAGATCATGAAAAATGTTTCCAATAACTGAATAAAATGATTGTTGTTGGACTTTGTTGTTCAGATATATCAAATATTTTTAACTAGATGATAGGCCTACATTAATTGAAACAAAACACTGTATAAACTGAGGAGTGCCTCCATGGATGTATAATAAGAACTGGATAGAGCGTGGGGGGCGGGGCCTCATTCATTCCTATGAGAGCTGCTCATTGGCGCATGAAGACAAAATGGCCCAACTTTTGAGAGAGCGAAACGTCACAGATTACCCAAGTACCCGTGGGTGTTTCTCAATCGCGAGTATGCTTGCTTGGTAGCACATTTCTGCCGAGCATCTTGCTTCAGAAGCGAGGCAAGAATACTTCCTGGCATTCGGAAAACGAAGAGTGGAACACGCTAGCAAGTGTGCAGGTGTGCGTCATATGAGAGGCCCCGCCTTACATTTCCGCCACAGATTTGGGAAAATTGGTCCGTGCGCAAAGCATTGTGGGGATTTTAAGACCGCGGAGTCTACACATGTGCAGCCTTGAAATTTCTCGCTACGAAGTACGCCGGGCTCGGTAGATTTTCAAGTATGCTGGAGATTGGAACAGTACTTCGGCGGCACTCGATGACGTAGTATGCTTGTTGAAATAGTGGCTCTGAAGCAGCTTTACTCGCGATTGAGAAACACCCCGTATGTGCACTCATAGAGCATGTGCAACTTTAACCACGCCCCCCAAAAGGCTCGTTCACATCAAGCACGTCAATTTGCGTACACGTAACAGCACCGCACGTTCATGACATGGATGTATCAGCGCCATATAGATAGATTCTATCTATATAGAGAGGCGAAGTCCCTCCCCTTCCGGTGGACCTCCATGGGACCTTATTTTGGAAAAAATATGTATTGAAGTCAATGGAGAGAGAAAGATTATCTTTCGATCCCGTTTGAATTGTGCCACGAATTACACATATGATGTTTGTCAATTTAAAAGATAATTTTGCAAGTCAAAAAAAAAAAATGTGTCGTAAAACTGTGAAGTAACACATTTTTGTGTGTGAAACGCTCAATGAACTACATCTCTTGCACAACAACACACGTCACCAAGATGGCCGTCACTACTGTCTTGTCAAAAAAGTTATTGACTACCCTCACTATCACCACAATGAAACACGTCCAGAAGAATGTCATGCAAAGCTGCCTGCCTGCCTTCCTTTGATTCTCTCTGAACTGCCTGGTCTTTTTAATGTTTAATGTCAACCATTTGTGCAGATAGCATGAAGTAGAGAAGATCGCCGATGCTAATGTAACGTTAGCGTTAGCATTTCTCCCCCGGGCTTAAATGGTGTATTATAGAATGATCACACCGGTGTGACAGTAAAAATGACAAGGCTAAGGCTGTAATGCTAACTAACGTGCTAGCTACTAGCTAGGTAGCTAACTTGATCCAGCCACTCCTGGTCCTTTCATCAGACGGGAAGCGAAAGAACGAGCAAGACCCATTGCTGGTATGATTACAACCTGGTACAAGGCACACAGGCATCTTGTTAAAGTTATCTTATCTTAGCTATCTCTATTTTAGTGGAGGAAAACAATTGTGACATCAGTTATGACATCACTTACGCGACTCTGGGATTTGTAGTCTTTCTAGTTGCGTATTTTTCATAGTCTTATATTTCAACAGTTTTACGACAAACTGTGACTTTTTTTACATGGAACATTTTTTAAGATTGACAAACATCATATGTGTAATTAATGGCACAATTCAAACGGGATCGAAAGATACGTTTTCTCTCTCCATTGACTTCAATACATAATTTTTCTGAAATAAGGTCTGACTTCGCCACTCTATGGCGCTGGGATGTATAATAGAGAACCGCAGTGACGCGTCCTAACACCCGGAAGTAAACTCCTTCCGGTTCCTTCGTCAAAAACGCAATGCAATTTCTCCATAGGATTTTGGAAAATAGCTCGAAATAAGGTCTGTGGTTGACACACATTTAAGAGACGGATCACGTTTTGTTCAGCCGGATAATATCCACATGTCTACCCTACTTTTATCATTTAGGAATCATAAATCTAGTCGCCAGAAGCAAAATGCTAACGTTATGCTTTAAACGAACTACAGCAGGGTCGCTGCTTCAACGTCACGCCAACTTCAGATCCATATTCAAACATACAGATTCTAAATGGTACGAGTTGAAGCGTTTGTTTGAACAGTTTGCAGGAGGCAGGTACTTGCTTTCAAGCAGAACAGGGCAAACAAACTTAGCGGGAGTGTTTTATGTGTTCGGTGTAATGACGTAAAATGGCCTGGACAACTTCTGTAGTCCTATTCAGCCACATGTTAACAACCATCGTTTTTCAGACACGTAAACTCTTCAAAAATCACCAGCGGGGTCACTGCTGATGTATTTAATGTTGTAGAACAAAACGTGATCTGTCACACAGACCTTATTTCGAGCTATTTTCCAAAATCCTATGGAGAAATTGCATTGCTTTTGTCGAAGGAACCGGACGTGGTAAAAATGCTAACTTACTTGCTACACACATTGCCGTCAATAACCCACACACAAACACCAACGCAACTTCA